GTGGACACGGCTCTGAGGGCTGTAAACTCTAGTGAGTCCTGGAGAGATGGCGCCGTGAGGAGGTCCACTTGACGACCACCTTTTCTCAACTCCAAGCAGTGAAACAGAATCTCGGCATGATTGTCATGAGCATTTATATTCCTATTATCTGCGGAAAAGACATCATGGAGCTGAAGGCTTAGTTGAGTATTACAGTATGTGCCTAGCATGTGCAAGGTCTACCCAACATATAGCAAGGGAGGAAGGGCAGGGTGGAGGGAGAGGGAGGGAGGGAGGGGAAAAGGAAGGAAGAGAGGGAAGAGGGGAGAGAAGAGGGAGAGAGAGAGGGAGTGCCGAAGGAAGTGTGGGAGAGAGAAAGGAGGAAGGGGTAAGATGGGGGAGGGTTTCCATGAAGAAACTTTTAGTTCTTAAGGAAGATCCCTTCCCCCACCCTCCCCACTCTGTGTGTCCCTCCCTCCCCATCCCTCCCCCATCATCTCTCTGAAATTTTGTATCATGTTTGAAAAGATTACTAGATCTGTAATTATCGAAATGAATCTTCATGGGGATGAGAAGATGCTCAATGGGTAAAGCACTTGCTGTACCTTCTGGGGAGTCTGAGTTTGAATCCCTGGCACCCACAAAAAAAATCTGGCATAGTACTGTATCTATACTCCTAGTACTACAGCTTCACAGCTGCAAACAGCTCCTACTGACTTCTTTCTTGACCTTTTCCTTGGAGTTTCTTAGCTTTTCATGTGCGTTCCATCTAAGTCCATTGATGTTTCCTGAGTAAACCTGTCTGCTTTCTGACTTGAGATGTATAGAACTAGCATACAGGGACACAGGCCCCTTTCCATCCATCCAGCTTTAAAAAATCAGGATGGAAGAGTAATTTAACTGATATGCATCCCTCATCTATGGAGATGAACCCATTCAGTTGAGAATTCTGTGATAAATCACAGTAGTGGGTTTCAGAACATCAAACAATATTTCTGTAATTTTTAAATCATTGTTTGTGACAGGATTGCACTATTTAGCTTAGGCTGGCACTGAACTTAGAATCCTCCTGCCTCTGTTTCTGGAGAGTTGAAGTGCAGGCATGAGTACCCATGCCTGACTTCCACCATAGTTTCCTTGAGGATATTAGTGAGTGAATTCAGGTTGTTATACATACTAGGAAGCTATGAGTGTGCCCCCAGCTCCATCCACAGCCATCACAATCCACTGGTTCTGCAGAGTGTGTCCCCAGCTCCACCCACGGCCACCAACACTGGTTCCTACTGTGTTTACAGTGTTTACACTTTTAAATCCATGCATGAAGCGGGCCTGCCGTTTCGTTGTGTCATGGTGAGTGTATCAGGTTATCAATGACAGAAATAAATCCAGAGATTTCTTTCCTTTCTTCATTATTTCTAGTGTTTAAAAAAGCAAAACAAAGGCCCCACTCAAGTTCTCCAGTGAGCACAGCAGGACTGACTTCTGAGGAGGAGGCACCATGTGATTCTCTGGGTGGCCATGTTAAAGCCCCCCTCCAATCTTCTCTCTGATAACCAACATTTCTGAGTTTTAAAGCTGCTTTGGGGGCATCTTTGATAATTTATGTTTTTCTGAGAACCTTTGTTTGGTCCAGATTTTGAAATCCACAGACAAGGAAAGTGTGGGGTCACGTGACAGTACTGTTCCAGCGGCCATCCCTTCACAGTTACGTTTGCATTTGTTCCTTCATTTCTCATTAGGGAAGTTAATCCTAGGAAATCAGATCTCAGATGGATTATTATTTATCCGGGTCTTTCTGGGGTCTAAAATCTATGCTTACACTTTCTATTTTTTAATGAGCTTTCATCAGGGTTGGCTTTGCTGCACAGTCCCTAAACACTTGCAGCTAACTAGTCCTTAAATTTAAATCCAAAGGCCAGCTGACTGGGTTATAATGTGTGTACCGTAACATGGACATCAGGAGTAGACACACAGCTCACAGTGCCCCCTCAGGCACATTGTGTGTCAAGTTGGCAAGGGTAGGACTTGTCATGGCTAACACTGGCTGTCAGCATGACTGAAGTCCAGCCTGCCTGACACTCCTGGGAGGGGTTTTCTTGATCATATTATTTGAAGCAGGAAGACTCGCCCTACATCTGGGCCACACTTGCTGGTGGTAGCACCGTAAGAAGATAGGGAAAAGGAACACTTTGGTTTTTGCCTGCTTGCCTTCATGCTCGTTGGCGAGTCCACCTACCCTATTGCTGTGGCGTTTCATCACCAATATTAGAGCCAGCAGCTTTCCAGCAATTCTCCAGGCCCTCAGTGTGGGACAGCCATTGCTGGACTGCCCAGGTCACATCCTGTAAGCCACTGTGAAAACCCCTTTCCTGCATGCTGTTCTTCTCTTAGCTGTTCCTCTAGAGAACCCTGGCCAGTACACTCACCAGCTCCTCCTAGGGGTCCCCGCATGCTGTCCTGGGCCTGTTCCTTCCTGCTGCAGGTCTTCATCCAGGAGACTGCCAGAGAGGAAGCTGGTGACTCTTGGCCATGAGTCTTCCTGTCCCTCTGTTGTGCTTGGACACTGGCCCTGTGACAATGGACCTCTGCTACACTTGGGCAGTGGCCACACCCACAACAGGGCAATGCAGGATAGGACCATGCAGGAACCATCCAGCTTGGACTGGCCAGCCAGTCTCAGAGAGAACGACCCAGCATTGCCAGCGGAGGGCTACAGGCTTCCTAGGACCTGCATTTAAAATAAACAAACTGAAGAGTCCTTTGCTTTGGACCTAACAAGCCACAGGCGGCTGGCGCTGTCTCGCGTGGCACAGAGGACTCACTCAGACCCTCTGCTGTGCTTCAGAAGTGAAGTCTTCACTTGCAGTGGGCTAGGTTTTGCTCAGGCTTGCTCTGCAGTGCTCAGGTGCTGCCTGGGCACGCTGTGGCTGTGACCTGCAGGACAGAGCCTGTCATCGTCTCCTCTCCCCTCTGGGGCAGCCCCTTGAATTTGCCTCCGGAGACTCAAGGCCAAGACCAGCTCATGGATGGTGAGTAGTAGGAACGACTGCCCTGTCAGTGAACAACAGGTGTCGGTGGGCACGCCCCTGCCACGGGACATTTCATCCTTTATAATGCAAGCTAGTTTGCTCTCTCCCTACATAGACAAAGCACACTGATTGCATCGTTGATATAGTTAGCTTCTTTCAAATTGAGAGCAGGCTGACTTGAAAGCAACTGAATGTCTGTCGCTCTTAGCTGGGTAGATTCTATTCTGCATTTGAATATATAACAGCATTCTAGCAATTTCCAGGAAGTCTTACGAGTTTATACATGCATTTTAACTTTAAAAATTTTTCCTCACACTAATCAAAACTTACTGTATTCTTATAGGGTTGATTTGCTATTTAAAAAATAATAGTAATTGTGAGATTTTTTTTTCCCCTTGTGCTTCCTCAAGGTCCTAAACTATTTATTTGACCAGCGCGTAGAAATACTTCCAAGAGCTACAGTTCTGAGTCTAATCTCACTGGTCCTGGGCTCTGTGTGGCTGGAAGATTCACATTTAAACCGTCCTTTATGTAAAACAAGTAGGAGCATCCACTCATTCCGCCAAGGAACTCTGATTTAAAACAAACTCTGGTGTCGTACTTTAGAAAACAGAGAGCGCAGCAAACAAACGTCCAGGGGGCGGTGTGAGCCCACGTGGTGGGCCCGCAGACTGAGCTGAAGCCAGTAGAGACACTCGGGGGATGTGGCTTCTCTGGCTTCCTCTGCAGAGAAGAGTTTTGAGTTAAACAGCAGCTGAGATCTTAATCTTCCCATCAGACAAGAGCACACGATGTCTTTGCCCAGAACCAAAGAGACCAGAAAAGGCAACTTGTACTTCTTGTTTGTGAAAATTAACTTATTTTTAAAACTAAGTACATAACCAAAGTACGCAAAGTCCATCTCACACCCCCAGTTCCCTTCTCTCGGGGCAACTAGGGCACCCATTTCTTGTGTATTCTCCCAGTTATACTGCTGTGGCTTGGAGGAGTGGTCATCGGTGCTGCTGGGAGCTGTGAGCCTAGTAGGAGGACATTAGGTCATCAGGAGAGTGACCTTGACCACCCGTTCTCTTTCTTGGTCACCATATGGAGAGCCCCTTCTACCTTCACACACTCCCTTCATGCACACTGCTCTGTCACAGACATGGAAACAATGGAACCGAGTGACCAGGGGTGAAACCCCTGCAACTCTAGGACCGAATGGTCTTTCCTTTTCATAATCTCATTCACCTCAGGTACCTGCGACAGGGAAGGGAATCTGGTTGCGCGTATGCTCATAAACTAAGGGCAAATCAGCGCACCTGCAGGTTTCCACACTATGTCTGTTTTAGCTCAGTTTTCCCTGATTAACGTTTAGATCTAAAAATCTCTTCAGGGCTCCTCTGCATGGTAATTCTACATGCATTTCACCCTCACGTGGGCTGGAATGGCTTAGTTATCCAGGAGTTCCTCCATAGCCTTAGAGGATTGGCTCCAGGGTTCCCACGGTTAGGGAATCTATGAATGCTTAAATCGTTCATGTAAAATAATTTAAAATTTGAAAATACCCTGTGCACATTCTCCTGTGTGGCTAATTGTAACTGCTACACAAACAGCGGTCACAATATACTGTTTAGGGACTAACAGGAGGAGAGAGGCCCTTGGGTATTCAAGACAGGCTCAGGGTTTCCTTCGCACATACTCCTACACGGCTGGTTCAGTCTGTGGATGGGGGCCCGCCAATCCAGGGCCTGCCTATCCAGGGGCCGATTCTGCAGTTCAGACCTGTGCTAGAGCATCTTTGGGACCAGCTGCTAGGGACGAGTGGCAGGATCAATAAGTGCATCTTGAGTGTCAATAGAGCCCGCCAAGAAGCCCGCTGTATTGACTGGATAGACCAGCACTTGACAGCAGGACCTGGTTCCCCATCCACACACACACTGGGAGTTCTGATGAAAAAGGTTCCATTTTTATTTACACTTCCCTCGTGGTGACGTTTTCCTTTACACTGAAGGTCCTTCCTCTTTTTCCTGTGATCTGGTTGAACATTTTCCTGCTGAGATTTTAGATTTTTTCTTCTGTTAGGACTGAAGGCGGATGAGACAATCTGCAGTATAAACGGCGGTTTCTACAGTTTGCCATTTGTACATTTTTAAGCTTTAATTTTTCAGTTATGTGTCGATGAATACGTCTCTGTGCACGAGCAGGTGCCCAAGGAGACCAGAAGAGGGCATGGGATCCCTAGAGTGGAGGGCCATCTGCCATGGGTGCTGGGAACTGAATTCAGATCCTCTGCGAGAGCAGCAGCCACTCTTACCCACTGAGCTGTCTCTTTGGTCTCCTAGATTTTGGTCTTCTGACATGCAAACACATTTAAACAATTTGAAGTGTGGTTACAGTCAAGAACTCGTCTTCTGAACTGCTGATTTATGAGGAGTGTGGCACGTATGTCGATAGGTTCTCACTTTGCACACAGAAAGCCTCTGAAAGCTGGCCTGAGCGCTGGCTCCTCCGTGGTTTTGATATGGGCCTCCACTCTTAGCCCAGGACACTGTCTCATCTGGCCTTTCTGCTTCCCAGTGATCAAATGGAGACATCAGGATGACCAGACCCAGTCCAGCTCCTTCTTACGTGACCCTGTGGAGGGGAGGAACAGCACCAATTCCACCAGGACCCTGAGGCTATCAGACGCGGCCAGTGCCACCTGGTACATCCTCGCCATCATCGGCATCTATGGTGTGATCTTTGTCTTCCAGCTGGCCAGCAACATCCTCAGGAGAAACGGGAGGTCCCTGGAGGACATTTATTACTCAAACTTAACTTCTGAACTCAAAAGGAAAGGGTTTCAGAGCAAGGTGGCTAAGTGCTCCCTGATCATCCACAACACAGCTGCCCTTCAGCCTCAACAAGACGACCCAGAACCAAAGGGTGAGAATGGCAGGCTCCACACGGGAACCCAGGCGGTCCCTTGAAAGTCAGGGCCAACAGACCACCATTGGGACAGATGGCCTGGAACCAAAGGGTAAATATGGCAGGCTCCACACGGGAACCCAGGCGGTCTCTTGAAAGTCAGGGCCAATAGACAACCATTGGGAGGCCTTGGCTGTTTTGCAGGTGGAGGAGTTTGGGGCCTGCCTGTGATCTGGAAGAAGGAACTGAGCCCTGGATGAGGGCAGGGTGAGTATCTCTGGCCATGACACTTCTGAGTATGAAGAGTCATCAGCAGCTTATGGCTCAGATTTTCCTGGGATAAGAAGAAACAATAGAAGCCATAGGTCAGAGGGAGACTCAGGGTTCTCGGGGAATTCAGGATACTCCTGAGGGCAAAGGGATGGCTTCTTGTCATGGGTGAAGGCTGAACCTGGAGTCAAATTCTTGGGATTAACATTCACCTTCTAGGGATCGTATCCTTTTTTGAGTGGCAGTTGATCACCTGGAACATGTGGGAGTTGGGATCATCCCCCAAAGTGACTTCATTTTAAAGACTTACTCCCTGGAATTTAGGACCAACATTGTTCACAGCTGAAGCTAAGAGTTCCTCAGTTTCTCTGGAAGAGCTGGGTACATTGAACAAGCCAGCCACTTTGGTCTCGGGAACCCCAGGTTCTGGTCTGGGCGTGGTTAGCCCTGTTTTGACATTTGAGAACCTATCACTGTGCTTCTGTGAAACTCAGCTTACAGTCACCTAAGGAGAAAAGTGCCAGAGCTGCCCACTGTACCGCGTAGATAAGCACTAGGGAGATCCTGCATGTGGCTGGGTTTGCAAATGCAGAGGACACACACAGAGGCGAGTGGTGGTGGTGGTGGTGGTGGTGGTGACAGTGGGCACAGCGAATGCTGCCGGGTGGTGGCAGCAGCGATGACAATGGCAGTGTTGATGGCTTTAGTACTTAGTGTTTTCAGAATTCAGATCCTTTTTGGATTAAATTTTAGTTAGCACTCAAATGTACTTATTATATTTCCATACACCATTATACTATGATCTTGCTGATTATCCCTCAGTCCCTGCTCTTCTCTTGCTGGCTCCTTCCTTTTTCCAAAGAGCGTCCCTTTCTGCTTTCATGCCACACACTGTCACCTTCTCTTGCTCCCCTGCCTTTAGATCTCTGCATCCTCCCTCATAGCCGTCTTTCCACTTTCTTCTGTACACACACACACAATTTAGTCTGTCTCTACACAGATCGGTGTGTGTACATGTATGTAAATATATCTGTGGTATATTTGTACCTACCTACACACACACACACACACACACACACACACACACACACACAGGTTCTCAGAGGAGCAGTGAAGGGCAGGTAATCCTGGCCAGCAGTTAGGGATTGCAAAGGTTCCCTCCAAGAGCATCCCAGGGCCCCAGCACCCACAGAGCCAGGAGCCAGAGCAGATCACATTTATAAACAACCACCCTCCCTCGGTTCTATGTAGTTCATGGACACCCCCATCAGCCAGACACTCACAAACCTTGCAGGGGTGACATCAGTGTGAGACACAGAGATTCTTGTCCAGGATATATGGACCCTGCCAGGAAGTATGTATGAGATGCCCGATAACAATTACAACAGAATTGAAAAGACTGATTGATCTATCATCGGACAGGCAGGAAAAGAGACGCATGCCATCCAGCCTCAACATTCATGCTGTAAGCAGACACTTCTGAAAACTCGACACCGTGGAAGAGGTCAGCCACAGTCATTTGTCACGTCTGCCGTGCCATGTGCTCACATGCCTGGAGCTCTCTGGAGAATATGAACACTGCCACTGTCCCTTGTCAGGAGGGTGCTGTCTGAGCCACAGTGGTAGTCCTCCTGGCTTGTGAAAGGCCATCGTCACCTTCCACACAAGTGGCCCCCAGTTTGTTCAAGCATGGACCGGTCTCATCAGTACATAGGCAGCTGGGAGCCGCCTTCTTTCCAAGCCAGGCGGGTTCTTTGTCCCAGAGCCCCTACTTACAAATACATGTCACACAGGTACCCTGAAAAGCTTAGTAAAACCACACATAAAGCAGGGGCCACCTCGATCCTACACTCTGCCGCGCTCTAGGGCCAGACAAGATTTCTGTCAAGGGTGAAGCTGACCTGCCCCCGGAGGGGTAGGACAAAGGCTGGCCCCTCTCATAATCCAAGTCTCTAGGGGGTCCAAGAAAGAACCCTGAGGTTTATAAGGACTTGGAGGACACAGGCCATGTTGCTTGGTTCCACATGTGACCAAAACACTTGGGAAAGAATAACCTCAAGGAGAAAGGGTTAATTTGGAATCCCAGCTGGAGAGGGTCTGGCCAGAGTCACCTAAGCACTTGAACAGGATGCTCCTACCCTGTGTGCTCTGTTGCTGGGGCCTGTGAGGGCGCATCTTCCCTTCATGGCAGGTAGGATGCAGTGAGAGAAAGGACTGGGGACCAGGCAAAACCTACAGAGGCACACCTCCTGGGACCCACTTCCTCCAAAGTTTATACACCATGTCTGAGAAGAATGCATCATCATCTAGGGATAAAATTTACAAAACACAAGTCTGTGGAAGGGGGAACACCTCACACATAAACCACAACACAGACACACCTTGGACCCGGCAGTGGGCCATGATGGAGTATGTCATTCAGTCTAAACTCAGAGCAGGGATGCTCTTAGGGGGATACCATTCACATGGGCCAAAGGGACACATGGGCTAAAGGGGTTCTGTGGGAAGGGTTCAGGGGCCATTAAGTCTACGATGGCAGCCATTAACCCTTCAAGGTACAACGGAGGGAGGGTCTAGTTTGAAGGGTCTTAGGCAGTGCTGCTGCAGTGACACACACCAGCCTTGACCACCCGCTCACAGATGCTGCAAAGGAGCGTCAAGGAAGCCGAGACCCAAGAGAAGCTAAGCCATTTATATGTCACACAGCCAACAGAGACTTCAGCGTGAAGTCTATCAGAGTTAGAAGCCCCGTGGCATTTCTATTACATCTGCCTAGCTTGCCTTCTGTTACTATAATGAACGCCATGACCAGTGCAACTCGGGGGAAGAAAGGCTCTTTTTCAGCTCACACTTCCAGATCAGTCCATCACTGAGAAAAGTCGGGGCAGGAACTCAAGAGGGAACTGACGCAGAGACCACGGAGGATCACTGCCTCGGGCTCTCTCCCTGGCCCTGCTCATTAGCCTTCCTACACAGGCCAGGCAGCTGGGAACGCCACGAGAAGATGGCCGTGGGAGGGCTGCAGGCCGGAGGAAGACGTCCTCACACGAAGGTCGGCTGACAGGACATTCATGAGGGTTGTGTGTACCCCTACAGGCCAAGGTTCTTACAGTCTCACATGTGCCTACACACATAAAGACACATACATGTCCACATCCATGTGTGCATGTGTAGTCATCTCCACACAGGCATGTACTCACATATGTTATTATACCCCCACATATATGCATACACATATGTATATACACCTATATATCATACACATCACACACGCATCCTTACACACATGCATCCTTACACACACGCATACTCCCATGCTCTGTCCTGACCAACGATCCTCGTTCCGGAAAGCACACTTTACACCAATGCTTCCTTTCAAGGATTTCCTTTTAAAATGTCAAGGAGTTTGCTCTCGGTTGGGAAGAGAAGGGAGGGCACTTGGCCTCTCTCTGTCTGCTTTGTAAACAGGGTGATGGTGTTTATTTCAACAACATGGGCACAGGGATTGATTACTAGATAACAGGTAAAGGGGAGAGAGCCGCTCCCAGGACTAACACATTGTTTCCCAGTTACTAGCAGCTGGGCCTGCACGGCTGTATGGTGATCTAACATGACAGAGCCACTTTCTCATTGGAAATATCACCCCAGGAGCACATCTGGGGAGACTGGAAGGGTCCAGCAGTCAGTGACACACACACACACACACACACACACACACACACACACACACACACAGAGGCAGGGCTGTCTGCTGAGCTTTGGTTCGGTTTGTTCTCAGGACCTCTTCCTTCTTGTCAAGTCAGACCCACAAGAGATAGGGACAATGCCACCAAGGAGCCACTGAGGGAGCCAGGCAAGGGCAGATGTCCTCCAGTCTATGATCAGAAGAGGCTCTTGGTTAGGAACCTGTCAGGTTCTTGGGTCAACTGTCCCCTGAAGGTGTCTTGTAGGGGCTGTAGGTGTGGGGCTGGATGAGCTGGAGCTGGTTCGGAGAGTCTCAGCCCAGCGGACTCCAGTGCCCAGGCAGTGGGCCACAAAGGCTTGGACCTGAGCAGTCCCCGGGGGTGACCTCAATGCCCTGCTTCTGGGAGCCCCAACAGTGCACAGCTCAGTGTGGTCTGATTAAATCAGTAAGTGTTGTGGCTTCCAAACAGCGGGGCTGGGGCTGTGCAGTGAGAAGCTAGCCACAGTATACATCTGTTTATAGTGGCAGCTGCCTGGGGCTTAGTGGGAGGCTGGATTCTTTTGTGTTTTGTATGACTAGTTTCTAAGTACTGTGACCTCTGAGTGACACTCAGCAAAGCTCCAGGATCCCAGGGGTCCTCTCAGGAGTCCTCTCCCTTGACTGGCTTACCTCAACCCCAAGTCCTACTTGCTCTAACATATCTCCAAAGGCAACTAAATTTGTGCATTTTATATTAAATTCTTATTTTCACTTTTTATCAGATGCACCCACTGTGAAATGCTAACTTGCTTACTGAACTGGTAAGGAACAAGACATATGAATACCCAGTAGCAAAGACCACAGCCTTTATGAGGGCTGCTGTGTGTGGTTTGGCCCGGCCCCTCCTCTGCCATTCTTGTAGATGGGAATCTGCACACTTATCGTGGGGACTGACAGCATGGTGTACTGAGGGAGGGAACTGTGGTGGGGGGACCTGCTCAAAACAAGGAGAAACGGAGGGAAGGGGGGAGAGAAAGAGGGGGGGAGGAAGACACACAGAGACAGAGGACCAGGACAGACAGCAGGCGCACAGACCAGAGTTTCTGTCACCCTAGCGCACGTCTGACAAAGCTCCTCCTCCCCGGTGGCCCTACAGGGTGGGGGCCAAGCCTTAGCACACAGCCTTTGTAGAACGGTTCCTATCTGCCCTCTAGCTCTGGGAGACCTGAACCAGCAGGGGGTACTGTCACTGCTCGGGTGTGTGAAAGGACAGACTGACCACTTGGCAACCCGGAAGTGCATGGACAGCATCAACACAGGGAGGCCTAGTGACGTCACTCTGGGAAGTGCTGTCCCTTGAGCTGTGACTTCATTCCCGCATGTACAGAGGCACGCAACCCTCACACTCCAGGCCTCCCTGGACACGTTATGGCTATCCCCTGGCACACGGCACAACTGGTAAATACCTCTGAAATGGATAAATGAATATAATATCCATTCCGATATCCAAGTGGAGAGGAGTCAGACACGTGCCAGACCATCTTAAAATGATCTATTCCAGAGTGATATTAGGCAGCATTTTCCGTGGTTGGTGTTCTCAGCTCGCGGCTGGTGATGCTTTGCGTCGGAAGTGAGGCTACTGCGCTGGCGCAGCTGTGGGAAAGCCCTTTGTGAGGTCAACATCCATGATGCTTTGCGTCTGAAGTGTGGCTACTGCGCTGGCGCAGCTGTGAGAAAGCCCTTTGTGAGGTCATCATCCGTGATGCTTTGCGTCTGAAGTGTGGCTTACTGCACTGGCGCAGCTGTGGGAAAGCCCTTTTTGAGGTCAGCATCCTCCTCCTTCTAGAACTCCCCAGATGGAGAAATGTAAGCCACTTGGGGGCCCCCATGGCTCGTTTAACAAACGCTCTTCTGAAGAACATCATTATCAGAACTCAGTTTGACAGCGTCAGGAAGAAACAATGCCTCCAGTATCTGAACACTCTGAGAACGCTACAGTATGATGGATATCAGACTGTGTACTTCGGGGAAACTGAGATCCCAGAAACTCTTGTCACTGGGGAAGATTTTAGTGACAGCTACTACATACACACGCCAACCTGGTGTATTCTGCATGCTGGAGGCAGTCAAGGGTGGGTGCCTTGGCAGTACCGGATGTTCCTGCGGGATGACCTGTGTATCAAACAGGAAGACAGCATCTTCTTTGAGTTCTGTGATGTTGTAAAGAAGGCCTACGGGAAGTGCGCCATTGTGGTCAAAGGGCGAAGGCAGCAAGACGAGATGAAGCCAAAGGCGGACAAGGAAGGGGAGGCCAAGGCCTATGTCCCAACAAACGTTAATTTAACAAGCATCGTGTGCTCCCCAGGAGTGGCCAGGTCCTATGGCCATGAGCTAATCTCGCTGCCCTCCCCGTATAATTACCTGAACCCCTTAGACTCGGCCTGGTCTTCTGTGAAATGGTTTATCATCAACAACAGGAAAGAGTTCTGCCTGCAGTCAGCCGACCACATCTACGCTTACCAGTACATATTTTTCAGTGACTTAATCAGCAAAGGGATTGAGAAGGTCAACCTGAGCAAGTGGAAGGCCCTCACCAACAAAGTGCGGAGGTGGGAGAACTACTATCTCGGGAAATTTTTTTAAGAGCATCTCCTCTACCGAGCGACGAGACGCCTGGTCTTTAGTGCTAACTGTGGAGTGTGATTCTGGCCCACTGTGACCGCAGACACTTCGGGAGTGAACTCACAGGAGGGCTGCCTGGACTGAGAGGTCCCTGGGGTTTTGGCAAAGTCCTGTGGTTGCTAGAGGCCACATTAAAGCTTGTTGCTATTTATGGGGGTCTCAACTCTCATCTTGTGATGGCTACCTCAAGGATCATGTTCATGGGAGGGGAGATTCTAGCCCAGAGGTCTGGAGTGGCTAAAGAGTGAGGTTAAAGGATGTACGGCCAAAATGTAGGTTTAAGAAAAAAAAAAAAAAAGAGAGAGAGAGCTGGGCAGTAGCGGTGCACGCCTTTAATCCCAGCACTTGGGAGGCAGAGACAGGCAGATGAGTTAGAGGCCAGCCTGGTCTACAGAGCGAGTTCTAAGACAAACTCCAAAACTATAGAGAAGCCCTCTCTTGAAAAACCAAAAAAAAAAAAAAAAAAAAGAGAGAGAGAGAGAAAGAAAAAGAAAGAGAATCAAGTGTACAGATATTTGAAAAAAAAATAAAAACACCGAAAATTAAGTACTAAACCAATAATCTTTAGCCAAAATAATCCAGGAAGATCCAGCTTGCCATGAGCAAGACATGATCAGACAGCCAAGGAGACAATAATCCTTTGCGAGGTGGTGGTAGGTGAGTGGCCTCTGTGCAGGTCAAACCCCACCATACATCTAAGACAAGCGAGAGGTCCACCAAAGGGAGCCACGGAGACATCACATGGTAAGTAGGTAGCATGAGTCGGGGTGCTGTGGAACCACATATCCAGCCTGCAAGAATCCCACCAGGAGGGTCCAAGGCTGCCATGGTTTATCATCTCAGGACTCTGAGCTGAGCTTCCTGAAGTTTCCTAAACTCAGGGTGTCTGCTGTGGGCCGGAAGGACAGAACAAGCCTGTCCCTCTGCCACCTGCCACAAAGTTCATTCTCCTTGTGTCTGTTCAAGCAACTTTACAACAGAAGTAATCGTCCTGAGGTGCATAAAATAACGACCAACATGGGGAAATATGGAAAGCCATGAGGCGGGAGCAAAGGGGTCTGAGAACTCTGCTCTTACTTTGTGTTTGGTTTTGCCAAACCTAAAAAAAAAAAAATCTTAAAAAATATCCTTTGAGGGCTGGAGAGATGACTCAGCAGTTAAGAGCATTGCCTCCTATTCCAGAGGTCCTGAGTTCAATTCCCAGCAACCACATGGGGGCTCACAACCATCTGTAATGAGATCTGGTGCCCTCTTCTGGCCTGTAGGCATATACACAGAATATTGTATAATAAATAAATAAATATTTTAAAAAAATCCTTTGAGAACTTCCACCAACTCCCAGTAGCCTTAGCTGCAGGTGAAGCTGGAAGCCAGGTTCTTGACAGATGCAGAGTGCATCATATTCTTGGCTTGACTTTATTCTTTCTAGAACGTTCCTGTGCTATTCAGAAAGAGGTTGTGGGATGAAAAGGGGTGCCCAGTGCTCTTCAGTCATGAGCGGTGAGTTCAGCAGTCTTTTCAAATTGGGGGAAAGAGGATGTTAACATACATCATAAAGAAGGGGTGTCACATCCCAAACCACCAACCACTTGGACCTACAAAGTTCCACCTGTTGTAGACCCAACTTTTACACTGTGCTCGGTGAGCTTCCGGTGACTGCTATGACAAATGACTGCAAATTTGGTGACTGGAAGTAGCAATTCGTTCTTCCCTGTTGTGGGCATAGGGAGGCAGGCATCAGCTCCACTGATCTGAATCAAGCTTGGCCACACTGTTTGGGGCTCCAGCATGGCTGCACTGCGCTGGGCTTCAGGAAAGGCTGCCTCATGCTTCTCACAGCATCTGATGGCTTGCTCACCCCTTGGCTAGTGGCCTCATCACTTCTTGCTCTTCTGGATCAAATCTCCCATCTTTGTACTTAGAGTCCACCTGACAATATCTTCACATCCTTTTTTTTTAATTTCCATTATTTTTATTGAGCTCTACATTTTTCTCTGCTCCCTCCCTGCCTCTCCCCTCCTCCCTTCAGCCCTCCCCCAAGGTCCCCATGCTCCCAATTTACTCAGGAGATCTTGTCTTTTTCTACTTCCCATGTACTTTAGATCTATGAAAGTCTCTCTTGGTGTCCTCATTGTTGTCTAAGATCTCTGAGATTGTGGTTTGTAGGCTGGTTTTCTTTGATTTATGTTTTAAAAACACCTATGAGTGAGTACATGTGATAAAAGTGTTTCTGTGTCGGGGTTACCTCACTCAAAATAATGTTTTCTAGCTCCATCCATTTTCCTGCAAAATTCAAGATGTCATCATTTTTTTCTGCTGTGTAGTACTTCATTGTGTAAATATACCACATTTTCCTTATCCATTCTTCAGTCGAGGGGCATTTAGGTTGTTTTCAGGTTCTGGCTATGACAAACAAAGCTGCTGTGAACATAGTTTAGTACATGCCCATGTGGCATGTTTGAGCATCCTTTGGATATATACCTAAAAGGAGTATTACTGGGTCTTGAGGAAGGTTGTTTCCAAATTGTCTGAAAAATCACCACACTGATATCAAAAGGGTTGTACCAGCTTGCATTACCACCAGCACTGGAGGAGTGTTCCCTTTACCCCACATTCTCTCCAGCATAAGTTTTCATAAGTGTTTTTGATCTTGGCCATTCTTACAGGTGTAAGACGGAATCTCAGTTGTTTTGATTTGCATTTCTCTGATGACTAAGGATGTTGAACATTTCCTTAAGTGTCTTTCAGCCATTTTAGATTCCTCTGTTGAGAGTTCTCTGTTTATGTCTGTACTCCATTTTTTTTAATTGAATTATGTGTTCTTTTGATGACCAATTTCTGGAGTTCTGTGTATATTTTGGAGATCAGCCTTCTGTCTGATGGGGAGTTAGTGAAGATCTTTTCCAATTCTGTAGACTGTCGTTTTGTCTTGTTGACTATGTCCTTTGCTTTACAGAAATGTTTCAGTTTCAGGAGGTCCCATTTATTGTTTCTCAGTGTCTGTGCTACTGGGGTTATACTTAGGAAGTGATCTCCTGTGCCAATGTGTTCGAGTGTACTCCCCACTTTCTCTTGTATGAGGTTCAGTGTGGTTGGCTTTATGTTGAGGTCTTTGATCCATTTGGACTTGGGTTTTGTGCATGGTGATAGATATGGGTCTATTTTCATTATTCTACATGTTGATATTCAGTTATGCCTGCACCATTTGTTGAATATGCTTTCTTTTTTCCATTTTTTCCTTCTTTGTCAAAAATCAGGTGTTTGTAGGTGTGTAGGTTGGTATCTGGGTCTTCTATTTGGTTCCATTGTTCCTTCTGTCTGTTCTTATACCAATACCAGGCTGTTTTCAGTACTGTAGCTTTGTAGCAGAGTTTTAAGTCAGGGATTGTGATGCCTCCAGAAATTTTTTTATTGTACAGAATTGTTTTGGCTATTTTGGGTTTTTTTGCTTTTCCATATGAAGTTGAGTATCATTCTTCAAGGTCTATGAAAAATTTTGTTGGGATTTTGATGGACATTGTGTTGACTCTGTAGATTGCTTTTGGTAAGATTGCCATGTTTACTATATTAATTCTGCCTACCCACGAGCATGGGAAATCTTTTTACTTTCTGGTGTCTTCTTCAGTTTCTTTCTTCAAAGATTTAAAGTTCTTGTCATATAGGTCTTCCACTTGTTTGGTTAGAGTTACTCTGAGATATTTTATGCTATTTGTGGCTATTGTGAAAGGTGTTGATTCTCTGATTTCTTCCCCAGCCCTTTTATCATCTATGTACAGGTGAGCTACTGATTTTTTTTGAGTTAATCTTGTATCCTGCTACATTACTGAAAGTGCTTATGAGTTGTAGAAGTTCCTTGGTATAATTTTTGGGATTGCTTATGTAAACTATCATATCATCAGCAAACAGGGAGAGTTTGACTTCTTCTTTTCTAATTTGTATCCCCTTTTTCTCCTTTTGGTGTCTTTGATCTCTAGCTAGAACCTCAAGAACTATATTGGATAGATATGGAGAGAATAGACAACCTTGTCTTGTTCCTGATTTCAGTGGAATTTCTGGAAATTTCCATTTAGTTTGATGTTGGCTGTTGGCTTGCTGTATATTGCCTTTATTAGGTTTAGGTATGTTCCTTGTATCCCTGCTCTCTCCAAGACCTTTATCATGAAGGGATGTTGTATTTTGTCAAAAGCCTTTTCAGCGTCTAATGAGATGATCATGTGGTTTTTATTTTTCAGCTTGATTATATGGTGGATTATGTCGACAGATTTTCATATGTTTAACCATGCTTGCATCTCTGGGATGAAGCCAACTTGATCATGGTGGATGATGGTTCTGTTGTGTTCTTGGATTCAATTTGCCAGTATTTTATTTAGTATTTTTGCATCAATGTAAGTGAGGTTGGTCTGTAATTCTCTTTCTTAGTGATGTCTTTCTGTGGTTTGGGTTATCAGGGTAATTGTAGCCTCATAAAAAGAGTTTGGGAATGTTTCTTCTGCTTCCATTGTATGGAATAATTTGAGGAGTATTGGTATTCGTTTTTCTTTGAAAGTCTTGTAGAATTCTGAGCTGAAACCATCTGGTCCTGGGCTTTTTTTGGTTGGGAGACATTTGATGACTGTTTCTATTTCTTTGGCAGTTATGGGTCTGTTTAATTTGCTTATCTGGTCTTGATTTAATTTTGGTAAATAATATTTATCTAGAAAGTTGTCCATTTCCTTAAAGTTTTCCAGTTTTGTGGAGTACAGATTTTTGAAACATGACCTGATGATTCTCGGTCTTTCCTTCATGTCTGTTGTTATGTCCCCCTTTTCATTTCTGATTTTGTTAATTTGGATATTCTCTCTCTGCCTTTTGGTTAGTCTGGATAAAAGTTTGTCTATTTTGTTGATTTTCTTGAAGAACCAACTCTTTGTGTTATTGATTCTTTGTATTGTTTTGTTTCTATTTTGTTGATTTCAGCTCTC